CCCCCCGCTGCACCCCGGCCGGGAGAAGGGCGCTGGCGGGCCTTGCCGCAGGCTGCTTTACTGTAAAAATAAAAGTGTGCCGAGAAGGTCAGAGCTCTTCCGCCCGAGAATCAAGGAGAGGAGGAAAAAAAAACAAAAATCAAACCAAACCAAACCAAACAAAAACAATCAACCAACCCCCGTCTCGATCGTTGCTCTAAACTGCTGCATCTCTCTATGCCAAACTAATCGATACCGATTGCACCGCAAAACCCCGTTGCAAATTCAGCTGCCTGGAGATTACCTGTCAGACAACTTTACCGAAAGCAGCTTGGAAAGCCGTGTCGGAGGGTCTGCCGCCTTTTCATGCTGGCAGCGTGGGCCCCGCTGGGCGCTCGGCATGGGTTACTGAGCGCGCCAGGCCACGCTTTTTAACGTTCACCTCGCTGGCAAGCCTCGCGTTTCTCTGAGTACGAAACCTCTGTCGATTAACAGTGTCACGCTGTGAACTCCTGGTGGCACATCTCTGAGGTTGCGGCCACCCAGTTTTACACGTACTTTTAAAATAGGGAGCGGGGGGTGGGGGGGAGTATTCTGGAGGTGGCGCTTTCATCATTTCCAGTTTATCAGTTCAGCTACTCGTTTGTCCGTTTTATTGGAAATTTTAACTACCTGTAAAATCTAAAGATGGCTGTTAGTGTCACGCCGATTCGGGACACAAAATGGCTAACGCTGGAAGTGTGTAGGGAGTTCCAAAGGGGGACTTGCTCACGACCAGACACGGAATGTAAATTTGCACACCCATCGAAAAGCTGCCAAGTTGAAAACGGACGCGTAATCGCCTGCTTTGATTCATTGAAAGTGAGTAAATATTATATTATTTTCAAGGATATACGGTTAATGAAAGAAGCAGTTGTAGCCAGAGAAACCCTGGAGCCCGACAGGGAGCAGTTGCTGGCTGCCAGCAGTGGGATGTTTTGCTGCTGTTATTTTATTGATGCTTGTTGATTTGTTTTGCTGTTTTCCTCAGGGGAAGGGGAAGGATAGGGGGAATAAAGGGAAAATACGCCTGGCAGGGCTCAAATCCTCTGGTATGGCTACAGTCACTGGTGCTTTGCCTCCAAATTATTCTCTGCCCGTAGCTGGAATAAAGGGCACTTCACGTAGAAACAGCAAAGTCACTGTAAGGATTCTTTGTTTTTAATAGCACGAACCACGTAAGCAATATGATGATTTGTTTCCATCTCATAACTACCAGCGGGTTGTTGGTGTCTCTGGACAGCTGATGGTGAATCTTAGAAGAGTGTTTTCCTCCCTAGGTTATTTGGGTGCCCGTAAGCACCCTGCTTGTATTTCTGTGCTTGGGACTGCTGTGCTTATCCTGTCTGTTTCGCAAATGCACTCGCTTAAGGGAAGGACGAGGCTCAGCAGAAGGCAAGGTGCCTCTAGATGTGCAGGCAGGGCTGCAGCAGAGAGGGTACAGCCTCACGCTGATTTTTAGGAGGCACATCCGAGTTTGGCGCTGTGGATGTATGGCTGCTGTTCTACTGTAGCTCTAGTTTCAGTAATAGGTGTTAAATGCGTGAATCCCAGCCCCTTCCCTTCACTTTTCATAAATTAAATAATCTTAACATTTAAAATACTCATCCCACAAACAGTACAGAGTTAATTCAGTAGAGTCATAAAAAAACTCCAAAGTTGGGAAACAGAAATACGCCTGTCAGAATTTCTACAGTATAATTTTCTCTTCCTGGGACCAAACCCCGGGAAGCGGAGCAGAGCCCGGCTGTGCGGGGTTGGCTGGCGGCAGAGACGTGCCCTGGGGAGGGGGTTGTCGCTGGAACCAGCTACCGCAGGTCGCTTGTGCAGCCAGGCCCTGACCGCAGCGGCAGCTGGGCAGAAAGGTCATTTATAGCAGTTTTATATAAATCCTGCAACACTCCTGAGTTTAACAATGTGTCTTGTCTCAGATCAGATCCCATCCTTTTTCTCCCTGCCGTTCTGGGGGAAGGTGGGAGCTGCGCGGTCCTGGCTGCCAGTCGGGGTTAAACCACGACAGGAGTGAACCTTTAAAATGCTCTTGGGCCTGAAACACCCGGCCCCACCACCCCCAGCCACGCTTTCACTGACAGCTATTGAAATGCTTTTGTTGTTCAAATTTATTTTAAAATTACAGTAATTATAATGCATGGGGGGAAGGAAGAAAAATTCATTTTAGAATGTGGAAATAAAATGCTTCTATGCATTAAAAAAGTGCTGGCGTTAGGAGCAGTGCCAGGGGCTGCCAGCGTCTATGTAGAGTCCTGGCCCCGAGGCATCACCCTCCCCAGAGGAGCGGCCTCTGGCCACCGTGGCCACTGCCCCTGGGTGGCAGTGAGCCCGCCTGACGCTTCTTTGGCACAGCGTGGTGTGGTGTGGCATGGTGTGGTGTGGCATGGTGTGGGCCAGCCATCGCTGCGAGGACGCTGCACCGTGGCTGCCACCGTGCATGAGGCACGCATCGGACCTCCCAGCGGTGCTGCAGCGCTGCAGCCCCGGCGGCACAGCTGCGGGGAGCGGGGCCCGTCCGTGGAGGCTTCAACCGGCCTCTGCGTGAGAGGCTGTGGGAGCAAAGGTGTATTTACTGGTGAAATCGTACCCGCAGTATCCCCAGTTTGATCTCCCACCGAGCTGGTATTTGGTGGCACGGTGCATGGCGGTCGCGGTGGCCGTACCCCACTGGCCTTGCGTTTTTCTGAGCGAGGGCCTAAGGTAAAGGTTGAAAGAAAACGCTGGAGTTAATTGGACACGAGTCTCCTTTGCTATGGGAGGCATGGGCCAAGTTCGCTGTCCATCAGCGTCCGCCGCTCCGGTTCCTGACGCCCATGGTGATGGGAAGCTCCTCACGCTCCCGGTGCTGGAGGCGGTGGCCCGCGGTGCTGGGGCTGAGCGGCACCGTGGGCTCGTGTCTGGATGCAGGACCAACTGGGGACAGCCAGGCCTCCCAGCCCCCGCCAGTGCAGCCGGCTCTTCTGTTGCCGTCAGCAGAGCTCTTCCACCTCCTTTCTTAATGAAGGAGATAATTATCACCTTTGTGAAGAGCTGCAAGGTCCGTGGATAGCATCACAGCATTATTGCGTTGCTTCAGGATGCCCTGTGGAGAAGCCTTCTGCTGCCCAGGTAGCGTGGCGCGGTAGCGGCGTTGTGGGCTGGGAAGCTGTGCTGGGAAGGAGGCACTGCCTGCGCCAGGCGCGGCGCCTGCCGGTGCTGGGGGGTTTGCCGGTGCTGGGGGGGCTGAGTGCCGGGGGGCACCGGGGTGCCCGCGCTGCAGGGCCGGGTCCTGCCGCCACCGCCGGAGCTGGGAACACTGCCCGCTCCCCACCACTGCCTTTTTCCTTTTTAGTTAAATAGCTCCTACAACGGGGGAAGACACCTTCCGTAAACAGAGAGTAGAATATCCCCCCACTGAATTCCCTGTCTGACCCACAGAGTGGAAAAGCAGTTGCTCGGTTTTGGTCTCCTTTCACATCTTTGTCAGTTTTTGTGTGTGTTAAGCTAAACAAGCGCTAGTTACTTTGTTACCTTTTCTGCAACATCGCAAACTTTAGATGTTTTGCAAAACCAATGTTATACCGGGTTTGTCTAGACTCTGTAAGGTCAGTTAATGGTTTATGAAAGAAAAAAAAAGATTTTTGATTAGGACATTCAGAAGTAATTTTTAGTATTTTGGTAACTCGGTGTGGATGTCATGTCCTTGCCCTTTACTAAGATAGCGGTACATCTAAAAATTGACCTTAATATTAAAATACTTGATTTCTTATAAATGTATGTAATGTTAGTATTAAATGAGCAGCTGTTCTTGCATTGTTTCTTGGATATAAAATAGACACTTAGTCACTGAATATTTCTTTACAGATTACGAGCGCATAGTTTCACTGGTAGCTCTCCCAAGAATTAGTGTGTTGGAGAAAAAGTGCTTTGTTACATGACGTGGGGAGGTGTGTGTCAGTGCTGCAGAGCCGCAGCCCCCGGTACCAATACTCGCTCCGGGGCTGGAGATGGCCGGTGTGCTCTACTATATTTAGAACATAAACAGGCCAAGCAAATGCTTTCTGAGGGGACCCTGTGAAATGGCAGTACCCTTCAGCTCTGGCCGCCGTCCCGGGCGTCCCAGCGGGTGCCGTGCAGGGATGGGCATACGGAGCTCACCGCCAGCAAGGGCGACTCAGCCGGCCTGCGCGGAGCAGGGAAAATACATTTTAGAAGTGGAATGTCCAGCGTGGGTAAAATACTGCACGGTTTGTGGTTTGTTTTTTTTCTTTTCCCCCCTTTCCTGTGAAATGAAAGCAAAACCTGTGTGTGTAGGTCTAGAGCAAAAAGAGAGGGGAACTGTTCCTGAGAATCTCTCCCCCGCGGTGCGTTGCCAGCGGCAGGTACCGTCGCGGCGTTTGCAGGGAGCTCGTGGAGCGGCAGCACCGACCGCAGCGCTGGTCTCCGGACACGTGTCGGCTGTTGGGAAACACGTCCCGTGTGCGCACCTGATGGCTTCTTTCTTAATGCTGACTTGATAGCAAGCAGCACTTGTAACATGTTAATTAGGAGTGCGGGGCAGAAGGAGGAGGACACGCAGATGCCGGTGACCGCGGCGAGGCAGTGCACGGGGGAGGTCAGGGCCACCACAATCACAGCAAGATTTCATCCTCCCGCTGGTGAACACCCTGCCTCCTAATCAGTCCTAATGAAAGTGGCGAGGCTGTCCTTAGGGTAGTGCATTAATCAAGGTAAATGCGTGTGGGATAATCTAGCCCTTAGATATTCGGAGGATAATTTTAAAACAAGAATGATTATGTAGTATATTCAAATTGTGCGCTTGAGTGGCTGAGTCAGCTCCAGCTCTGGCTCTCCGTTGTTTAAATGCCGTAGGATTTTTTTCCTAAATTTGGATGCCTAAAAGCCTGCTAAACTGTCTACAGCAGAAATAAACTCTCGGGTTCCTAAATCAGGAAACCGGTTTGCAACAGAAATTAGATTTTTAGCATAATTTTAAAACATTTTTCTTCATTTCTTTGCTTGGAAAAATATGCCTAAGTAGAATTCATTTTTGAAATTACGTTAGCTTCATCAGATGTTCCGATATATGAGTCATCTGACGTTTCCTGAAAACTGAGATAAAGATGTCTTAACAATGGGGAGATGGATGTCAAATGCAAATCTTGTGGGAGGCTGCAGATGCGCTGAGGACACCCCGTCAGCCTGCCTGCAGCCTCTCTGCGTGCCCCACATCCTTCGGCTGCCACACCATCTTCCCTCACTGTGTATTTTTGAAAGTAGAAAAGAATGAGGAAGAAAGTGGGGAAAGGGAGCTGAGGACTCGGACCGTCTCTTCTGTAGTGCCCCCTGGTTGTGCTCAGCACTGCTGTTTATCGGTACTTCTCCACTGCAGTCGGAGGGCTTTCCGTGGGGTGTGCACTGCTGTGATCCAAAACATGCCAGTTCGAACGCATCTGAACTTCACGTGATTTCAGCAGACTCGGTAAATGCTGCAGGATTTGGGCTGAATCCCAGTTTGTCCCTTTGGAGCTAATGTTCACTACGGGCGCTGCGACTTTCAAATAACTCCTCGCTCTCTCAAGTGTACTGCTGCTAAGGCGGCTACTTCAGGCAGGAGTCGGATGTCCTGATGAAGTGTAAAAGCTTTTTCCTGCTCTTCCTTCAACAGCTGAAAAGTCTTTAACTTTCACATTTCTCTGCTTTTTTGAAACTCTAAGAAAAGGCTGGAGACTACAAGTGCAAGTCTTTCACTGATGCTGTCTGCGTTTGAAGCTCTGGTGCCTTGTGTCTGAGATCCGCCAAGACACAGTATGTTAGTAGTTTATCTTCTG